ACTGAGGGGTGCGATTCACACGCTCTCCAGGCGGCTCCACAAGGAATCCCTACCTGATATTTAAATATAAGATAATGCTAGAAATTAACACTTGTGAGACCGTGACCTATTTGACATAAATATATTGTCGTGTATGATTTTTGATCATGTCAACAAAATCAGTGACGTTAACAAATATTAATGTTCAAAATATACATGTGACTGCAACTGCTGAAGTTCCTTATATTCGTAAAAATTTAACGAATGTTCAAACAGTTGTTTCTGTATAAATCTCGGGATACTAAGGACCGCGTGTATCCGCGGCAAAAATTTGGCAATTTCATGGACAGAAATGGTACTATCGAGGTGGATCCGTTCCGAGCTGACAATATCGTTGAAGGAAGAAACAACAACTAAACCGTCAACATCTTTGAGTTCTATACTTGAAGTAGCTCCCTTGTACTTTCCAAGTGGGCTCTAAAATGCACAAAAAATAGTCAGTACTTTCCAGACAAACCTACCTGCCGAGAAAAAAGTTTTTATAATGCGATTGGGATAAACGGTTTGACCGCAAATATTATAAGTTGCCTATTATAAATTAGAACATTGGTAGACAGAGATACTTCAAAACCTAAAACCATCAATATGAAGTATGTTTACAGTGTTATTTTTTCAGTTTGTTAAGACATGTGATATTTCTCATAAATGCTTAATTAAATGTGTGTGCCCATTTATTGAAACTTTATGTGGAAATATGAGACGACCATCTGTCAATGGCTAACATGGTGTATATTTCATGTCATTGACTGAATCGTTCTGTCGTTGTCATGTTTCCAAATATTTTTATTAGTCAATATTCTCGCACATTTTAGACAAAATTGAGGCTGTCCCTTATTTTGGAATTTCCGGAAAATATATCAAAGCCAGGTTCGGGAAACAGGCTTTTAACAAACATGCCGTTTTTTTCATAAATAAATAAATAAGGATCCGTAAATAAGGATTTGCAAATAGGTGTTTCTTGATGACCCTAAGCACAGTATTACATCATAGAGGTTATATTGTTTTACTAAAATGCCCAAAATTATGTTCTTTATCACAACCTATTCTCATTCCTTACTTGGAATGGGCTTATTTGCGGGATATTCTCTAATGCCTTTCGTATGATATAGTGCCTGCAAAGGCGCTATCCAGAGGAAAATCAAACAGGTAAGCAGGCGCAGTATCCTTTTGATAATGCAGAAACAGCGTCACGTAGTGCAATCGTAAAACATTGCAACATGTCATTTGTGGTATAAATATTATCTATTATTTCCAGATAAATGGAAGACAAGGGAAATTTCGGGCATTTGCTGTGTCAGTCACTTGATTGCTGCGACTGCACATGCGCACATCAACAGCAGTTTTTTCCCCGTTTCAAGAATTTTCCGCATTTTTGAAGAGGCGTTTATTCTTTACCAAATTGTATTTATGGAAAAAAATATTCCTGTCTAATTTAACAATGTTATTTTTCCTTCAAGAGAAATGAACTAGCGCACACCATGCTTAATTGATTTCATTATAAACATTTTAACATAATTTCAGATAGGTTATTTACTGTCGTTCAGCCTCTTTAAAATGAATTACCGTAGTAGCATCCATCCGCATGAGTGAAATATGGAAATGACACTGGAAGTATACCTTTTCGGACACTGAAGGTTCAACCTTTTCTCCTCTTTTACACGAAAATACATTGGAGACCTGCATGTGAGTGGTGTGCAGTGTATACTTCACACCCATGTAGTACGACAGAGATGTGGATGGAATGCGTCCTTGTAAAGATTTAAGGACTTTTTCGCGCAATTCCGCATCATCCATTAAGATTGGCAAATTAGAATCTTGTTGAATAGAACAAAAAGTAAAATGATTAACCTTATCGAAGGTTTTCACATTAAATAGGCATTTAAGCGCAAATTAGACGTTCTCATTCAGATAAGGTATTGTTCTTTGTCATGTCTGTGTACATGTGCCAGTTAAACATATTTCAGTTGACGAAATTTCACCGGACGCTTTCGAGACTCCGTTGTCTATGCTTTGCGTTTGCCTCGCGCTTCTTGTCTACTGGGCCTGACTGCAGCTGTAGCAGCGAATAGTATCGAATATGATTATTGATGCCAAATACAAAGGAGGCCAAATGTGAAACTATTAACCTCGTCTTTTCCAAGCCATCGTACACCCAAAACTAGCATATCCATTGTAATTGGTAACAGTGGTTTTGTATTAAGAGTGTCTGTAGATAATGGAAAGTGAAGCCTCATCTTATACTTGTGTACGGGAAAGAATTTAATTATTTATAACCTTTAAAAATTCGATCGGATCGCGGTTGCTTTTGCTGTTGCCAGCTAACAATGGCCCAGGGGCTTTGGGTTAAAG